CAACTTTATCGAAAAGTTGCCAAGGATATTTTTTATTTAGTATGATAGTTCAAAATAACTATGCGAAGCTAACGAACTATTGTTTGTAATTTGCTTAAACAACCTCTTGATTCATGTAAGGTGCAACCAACAACCATTATTATGAAAAATAAGTGGGAGGTTTTCGTCTCGTTTATATAGTAGGCCAAATTTGAATCTTCCAGGTCGCAGATCTCGCAAGGGAGTTCCCGAACGACCCTGACGCCAGGCTGGACGCTTTCCTGATGAAGAAGATCACCGCGTACTTGAACAGCCATTCAGTGCGGCTGAACTTGATCGGCAGGGACTCAGTCGGCACCGGAAGAGGGCGAGGGGGCGGTGGTGGTGGCGGCGGGGGAGGTGGCAAAGGGGGCGGAGGAGGTCATCACATGATCTTCGCCGCGGCTGCTATGATGAAAGGAACACTGTTGGCGCTTGCATTAGGTAGGTATTAATTCATCAGGCTATCCAACTCGATAATTACTTCACTCCAACGAAAGCAGCCGCGAAAGCAAAGCTTGAATGACGACTACTATAAAGAATTTAATTCATACAAGCTTTGAGTTCGGTAAGGTCAGTTCAACTGGGGAACTGACTACACGTAGATATTGTGTCACATTCTGGACACTCTGAAAACAAATGTGTGAGAGAATTGAGACCGCATGTTAAGGAAATATCACTAACCAGCCGGGTTAACGTCCTCTAAGCTATATGGAGTTTGGTTAGAATAACCAAATCAGTCACTCCAAGACTCCAGGATGCATCTTTTTTAGATCGAAGCAGCTGCGCAGGCAGAAGCCTAAGGACCAGGGCACCGCGGCTGTATGAGAAGTTTAAAGAAACTTTGTTACTCCAGTTTTTGAACTTTCTCAGGTTAGTAGGTCTGGGAAAAAGCCTCCTGTGGTAGATTGCTCTCCAATGTAGATACCTTAGGGACTAAAGAGTGGTAGTACCCCCCAGTTCTAAATGTTCAAAGTTCGACACGATTAGGATGGGAAGCAGAAGGTAGGCGGGTCTGCCTGACAGGCGCAAAGAGCCGCGGCATCATGGAGGGGAGCACTGAGGTGCAGAGCCCGATGGCGTACCGATAGAAGAGAGCCAGATTGCAGATGGCCCGTCGGTTAGCAAGTGTTGGAAGACTGTTCGTTATATAAGAGCCATCGGTTAGTCAGGTAGCCCTCCTCCCTCCTCTGAGCAGCATCGAGCATGGATAATGTAGTCAGATGGCAGCACCCCAAACATGTGAGCAGTACTCGAGGCTAGGTCTTATCTGGGCCTTATACAAACTGAGGAGGTTAACGTAAAAGTGCCCTAAGGGAATTGGGTAGGTTTTTCCCAGCAGCTGCCGCTACTCCCAAAAAGTGTTCGTGCCAGTCCAAGTTCTCGGTAATCTGCAGTCCGACTAGTCAAAATGAATGGGAGAAATGATGATCAGGTCCGAAGCTTTATTGATGTCCAGCGACAAGTGCACCCGTCCACGGTGGAGTTGGCAGTACAAATCTTTGTGAAGTTTCCTTCAATCTGGTTGGCCAACGTCCAGAAAGACTGAGTGCCATTGCGCTGCGACATTACCTTGTGCCTAATTTTACATCGTGGTCGTCTTTACCATTGCGAAACGATTCGCTATATTTGTTTCTAGACTCAACATCGGCTTGTCTGTTCTCTACGTGGTCTTTTTTATCACAAATTAGCCGTCACTGTACTTGAAAAAGGCTATCATATATCTGATTTGACAATGGAATCCGAATTTTTCAAAATGTTAAGACATCAACCTCGCCAATGTAACCTAGAGTGGAGTGAGAGGTTACTCGTTGACTATAACCTTAGGACACCATATAGAGATATAGCATCTAAAAATACATAACTAAAATGATGATTTTCAGCGTTATCGTCTATGTTTTGCATTAAAATAAATTGTAAATGGTAGGTACTTATGAAAATCAATGGCGCAAGTCAGATACTGGGAGGTTAGAGGTAGTTGTGAGCCGTTGAACGTATTTACTAAAACATTTTCCGATTTAATTCAAGAGACAAATCAATGATTCCATTAAAGTTCTGAATAATATGAGAAGAGTGAACCCAAAACACAGTATATTTGGGTATATTGTGACAATTGAATTCACAATGAAACAATATTGCAGAAGCTGTATCCTTCAACTTTTGATAGCCGAACATCTATTTTTAATGAAATATCAATACACTGAAATGTAAAATGTTATCCCTACTAAGTCAAATTAATTTTTTGGCCATATAAAAGCGAATCGAAATTTCGAATGAATGATTACGATCGCTGGCTGAATCTAAGCATGACTTGATAGGTTATGCTGTGAGGACTGTCTGTCCATTTAGATGACATTTAACAGCGCTGCCCAATGTTTTGCTCAGTTAGTGAATATCGTTTGCTATCGACTGAATCTACTGACAACTAGCACATCTCAGCATGACCTGTTTCACATTCATGACATCTGAGTGCAGCTGAAAGTAATCTGGCTTAGTCTCCCATATTTCTCTGGCAAACTGAAACCGCATGTGTTGAACAAATCTTGGTTATTGTAAACGTTTCCATCACACAGTGACACGGTGACCTTTAGTACAATGACTGCCAATATATTTTATTTATCAGTATTCTAGGTCATACCTGTTTTTAGTTTTTTAGTTTTCATGTTCATATTCCGATACACTGAATTACTACAAGAGTGTGAACGGTGGTTGCAATTAACCATAGAAACATGGGGATTAGCGATATGAAAACCACAGGATAAATTACATTAATGTAGCTCAAAATTAATAGTATCGAATAAAACCTGTTTTCGAATTCAAATTAAAAACATTTTGGTGACAGTGGGGTGTCGGTTATCCTCGTGTGAGCTGTTCTTCTTTATTCTTAATATTAATAAGTGTATAAAAGGTTGTAAAAGATAAGTTAATCAAACAGATAGGTAAGGATTCAAGCGGCGAGGTTTCAAGTTAATCATGCTTTGGCGTTTTCGATTCCACCTAATCGTGGTTCCTTGTGCTTTTTTCTCTACTGATGATGTCTTGATTCCGGTTTATCATTATATCACCATATCAACCTATTTTGAACATTTGGCACGCTGTGACATTAGAAGCAAATCTTTTTCTCATATAGTAGCTTTTAGAACTTTACAATACTTCAGATGCATAACCTGCAGGGTCAAGTACATATTGATGACCTCTCTTAAGAGGTAAAATGGGGGCTCTACAAATATTGCGATTACCAACAATTATTCACAAAAAGCTATACCTGCAATGAAAAGTGTTTGAAGGAAACTAATTGTTTAGCGATCGACGTTAAAATATCGTGGTGTTGACAACAAACTCGATTTTAACTTTTAAACCGTTTTTTTTTTATATTCCAACTACCACGAAGGCCTAAGGCCTAAGCACCCATTGGGTACCGTGGGGCTATGGGGGATACATGGGAAAGGGGGGACGCCACACGGACTCTGGCGAGGGAACACGTGTGCATGCAACATGCACACATTCTGGCTCCGCCTACGAGAACCGCCGGGTGGTACCTCCGCGTTCGACAGTCAGAGACCATCTACCACCTACGGACAATCACAACATCCATAGCCAAGAGAAAAATTTCTCCTGGGTCGGGACTCGAACCCGCACAGCGCACGGCGACTGATCAGGAGACCGAAGAGTGTACTACTGCGGCCACCGCTGCTGCCTAAACCGTTTTTATTATACCACTTTCTTGATAAGTATTGTCATCTAAAGTATTTGAAAACAGTCGGCGCTGTTTTAGTCAAAGGAAAAGTCGAATGGACTTCAACATGGTCAATTAAAATCCTGACTGAAGCAAAAAAAAACTGGATGTGTCACTAGAAGCGTGACTTTGGCGCTGAAAATAACTCAAATTCCAAGCTGATCGCTTCTGTGGAATATTTGCATCTACGTATTTAAGAACATTATGTATTCCAAGTTGTCATCGTTTTTTCTCATCTCAATACTTTGTGGTCCTTTAAAAGGACAACTTTCGCAATTTTACCATTTTTGTCCAAAATTCATCGATTTCTGAATATTTGACTTTCTTATTTTTATGCTTGGTTACAACGCTTTTCACTTCAAGTCTTAATAAAACATACAAAGACACAAAACATGTAAAAATGAAAGTATTTCTCAACTGAGCTAACAATAAAGACAAAAGTTGAAATAAATCAATACACAATTACAACAAGGCGCCAACTCCTGTTCTTAATGTGACCGCAGTGGAGCAACACCTTAATTCTTATATAAGTTTAAACTCATGCTTTTCAAGCAAGTACTAAAGTAAAAAGAAAAATGTACATCTAAAAGAAATATGTAAATAATATAATAAGAAATATTTAAATAGACAAATCTCGAAGATGCGATCAACTTGAATTTTGATTGGCCAAAACGTTTATACGGCAAATTGTTTCACTATCAACAAAATATTCCCCCTGTGCTTGATTCGGTACGACGCTATTGCATCTATTCTGCAGTCAAATGCTACTATTTTCTTGGTGTGATACAAAGACTTTAATAGACTTATACCTGTTCCAGGTGGTATAGCAGCAGTAGCCGGCAAAGCTCTGATGACGGGTTTGATCTCACTCGTACTGTCCGCCATCATTGGCTTGAAGGCCCTCACGCACCACGGTCACAAGTCCACCACCTACGAGATCGTTTCTAAGCCCATCTACACGCATTCCAGCTCACACTCGATAGCCCACGAGGACCATCATGGCGGAGGGTATGGACACTCTTCCTATGGAAGGAGCTTCGACATGCCGCTACCACTAGGCCTGCAGCCTGAGTACAAACCTGAATAAGTGATACCAAATTGTCTTTTGTAATATTTACGTTTTATTTATTTTCGATTAAATGATTAAGCTAGTGAGGAATTGTCTCCATTAATGCCGATTATAACTTAATAATAATTGCTGCGGAGAATAGGTTTAGCTTTAAAAAGGGAGGCCTGTTTAAATCACATGAGAGGATCCTATGAAGCAGGTCTTACTGCAGCTAGAGGTAGAAGCTTCATTCCAGTCAAACGGGTACTCACAGTAAAAGAAATCGATGTAACTATTGACGAGATTGTATATCTTGCTGCAGTTCGAAATGCATTTGATCACTTCTACATTTACATAAAACCACTTTTTAATGGCCTAACCTATTCACCTCAGCATTACAAGCTCAGTGCGGACAACGCCATTGAGTGCAATGGAAGCTCTGCTGGATCTCCCGCCATTTGGAAGACAGTGAAGAAGAGAAATAAATCGAGCAGTGAACAAGGTACAGACAAAGGTCGGGCTTTGCCTACACAATAACGGACGTTTTGAACATCAGCTATGATTTCCTTTTGCTTATTTATGATTATTACCATCAATCAAATTTTCATTTTGTGTTCGGGATTCACCAGACATCTTTATTTCCTAATAATTTTCATCCAACAACAAATTCATGGCAAACTAATGAAATATATCAATGAATTCAGGACAGAAAAGTCCATTTAAATATATCAAATTTCTATATGAATAAACAAAAGTGGGTGATGGATGTCGCAAGAAGAAGAAACATCGAATTGAAAATTTGACCACCATCTTGTAAAGGAAAATAAGAAACAATAACAACATGCAATTTATGTTGAAATTTCATGTCAAATGAGGTCAGGAAAGAAATGATTTTGGGATAAATTTGGTATGCGAAACAAAACACTATCTGATGGTTTCAAGACCTACCTAGCAAATTCTACTTTTTTTGAAATAGCTACGGTTTGGAAATGTCAGTTATCAGAATTAAAAAACTATTCATCTGGGCGAAAATCCAATGTGGCGTCCATAATAAGAAATAAAGTCGAAAGACGAAACGTCATATTGAAATTTTAATTATGCCATCTTATAGAGGAGAGAAAGTGGCAATGTTATTGTGCAATTTATTTTTAAATAACACGACAAATAAGATCAAAAAGATTTTGGGAACATTTTTCTCTCGCTGAAAGTACTTTGAATTTCAAAACTTTCTGAGAGGCATTTTGCAATCTAGGTGTGTGTCATATTACAGATTTATGGGACCTGAATAAGAAACATCTGCGCTAAAATCCAATATCGCTTCCACAAAAAAAAATAAAGTCTGGAAGTACTTTGATTTAGGAGCTCTTTAAGCGGCATTTTGTTAGTTACCTAAATACGCAAATTTGCCCCCATTTAAGCGACTTCATATCTCTTGCAGTTTCCGAGATCCTAATGGTGAGGGTCGAATTTAAAACTCCAGGCATGTGTTTAAAGCTCCTCTTTATTATACGATGTTTCCCACGGGTATTACGTATCTTGAAAAGTGATATGATGTCGATTTTTTTGACATATTGGTTTTTTGTGACATTATGTAGGTTTATCTACAAGATGTTAAGTCAGCACTAGCTGATTGACACGTTGTGAACTAGTTTGTAGTTGTACGTGTTCCCTAAACGTCATGAGGCTTCAGTTATCAATGTTTCGCCCTGATGTGATGTAAAATCTGATTCAGAGATGGCATTACTAGAGGTAACGGCAATGCATAGGTGCATAGTGATGGTTTGTGTTTTAATAATATAAAGGGTGTCCCAAAATTAACGCAAGATTTGAATTTGCCGCCATTTGTGCAGTGAAGTGTTGGCAACCCTGAAAAAAAGCAATTTGACAGCTAACAGTATAGGGTTATGAAAAATGGAGCGTTACACGATAGAACAACGTGTCTTCATTATTAAAGAATATTTCAAAAATAGTGAAAGCTTGGCGGCTGCAGTTCGAAAATTTCATACAAAATATGGCCGGAATAGTGTTTTAACTTCGTCAACTGTGAAGAGATTAATTGAAAAATTCATGGAGACTGGATCCGTTGGAGACGCCAAACACACTGGTCGTCCAAAAACAAGCCGTTCAAATGTGAATATCGAAGCAGTGCGTGAGAGTGTTGCGGACAATCCAGGAACCTCAATTCGACGTCGTGGACAAGAATTGCAAATGTCAAGAACCTCTCTACAGCGTATACTCACCAAAGATCTGTGTCTTCATGCTTACAAACTTCAATTAACACAACAATTGAAGCTTAATGACCATGCAGAGAGAAGAGAGTTTGTTGAATGGATTATTGAACATCAACAAATGGACCCTGATTTTTCAAGCAAAATCATCCTAAGCGATGAAGCACATTTTCATCTTGATGGCTTTGTCAATCGCCAAAATTGCCGCATTTGGGGTTCGGAGAACCCACGTGTGATTGTCGAAAAAGAAATGCACCCACAACGCGTGACTGTCTGGTGTGGATTTTGGGCTGGAGGCATAATTGGGCCATATTTTTTTGAAAATGATGCTGGTCAAGCAGTGACTGTTACTGGTGCTCGATATCGCGACATGATTACACAGTTCTTTCTGCCAAAATTGAATGATATTGATGTACCCAATATGTGGTTTCAACAAGACGGTGCCACATGTCATACAGCCCGTGAAACAATTCAATTACTGCATGAGACATTTCCCGGTCGAGTACTCTCTCGTTTCGGTGATCAAAATTGGCCTCCTAGATCGTGTGATTTAACACCATTAGACTTCTTTTTATGGGGTTATTTGAAATCACAAGTCTATGTCAACAAGCCCACAACCACCCGTGCATTAAAGGAGGAGATTCAACGCTGCATCAACGAAATTCAGCCACATTTATGCAGAAGGGTCATGGAAAATTTCGACAAAAGAGTGCGCATGTGCATGCAAAGCCGTGGAGGCCATTTGTCCGATGTGTTATTCCATACATAACCCTATCCTATGTACTTTATGAGTCAATAAAAATATAACTATTAAAAGACTAAAAATGGCATTTTCTATTTAATTCAAATCTTGCGTTAATTTTGGGACACCCTTTATGTTGATGATAATTCCATCGTAGCTGGAAATTAGTTGCGCGTTTACTTTTTCGTATCCATTCTGAAAATTACATATGCAAATTTGCTGAATTTCAAAAGTGAGAGAAATAAGGAATAACTATATTCACTGTACACTGTCGAATTACAAGTCATATACATGTTAACAGTAATTACAAACAACGCGGGCGCGCTGGTGATTTCCCGTTATTCTCAAAGTTTTTGAAAACACAAAAAACCTAAAAAATCGTAACTTATAACTTTGAACCTGTCTCCAGAAAGGACAACATATTAATAACCCGTCGGGCACAGCTAATAGACTTTATCGGCGGCATATTCATTAATGATTTCCTCACACAGCAAATATCACTGATTTTATGCACAGTCCAATACTCACAATCTCGCGCTACTGATCAGCCGGCCGGCCGGGCCGCGAGTTCGAATCTCGCCTTCGCCATGGATGTTGTGACGTCGTGTGTTTGTCCATAATTAGAAATATACATATACAAGATTGGATCTGGCTAATGGGACGGAATGTCCTAGTGCAAAAAAAAATACTCACAATCATCCAGATGCGATCTTGCTCTCCAACTAACTTTCTTCTCAGAGATGGGAACTCTATATACTACTCGGCTTCACAAAATATATGCAACCAACAATCTGTGGAGTTGAGCTATCCTCCATAGATGGACGCTCACAACAATTCTAGTGAGCAAACGTGGAATGACCGTTGGAACCCTAAAAACTACCTAATCTGCAAGATAACATTTTATAGGTTTTTTGACGTTTTACAGGTTCTTTACATAACACTCGTGTCGGTCCAATGCTGACTGTCTAGTACAATTTACACTTGACAATATATTTTGTTGTTGTTTCTTAGGTGATGCATCGTTTGGCTTGTTCTTTCACATACACATTTCTATACAGTGTGTCAGTGCAATAGTTTGTACGATCCTGTAACGTGCTGAGATTGCGCGAAGCCCGCAATGCAATTATAAGATAGCTCCGCGCAAATCCAGCAAAGCCCAGCATAGCCATGGGTAGGTATTCCGCCCTCAAAAAGGCGCCCAGCCCTCCAAGGCGACAAGGGACCATGAGGTTTTTGTCATATTTTCATCTACGACGCACGTCACAGTCGTTTTGAATACGCTATATGTCTTCTGAAAGCACGAAAACCCTTTTAGGAACGGGGTGAATATTCCAGGAGGTCCCAGACTTTGCTCCCAACTAACAATTATCACTCCTATTACAGCTACAGTCTTCTTTACACAGCATTGTATGCTGTAAGAACATTGGCAAAACGCTCTTAGAACAGCTATACAAGCGAAATGGGCACATCTAATAGGGCGCTTCACTCATTTAAGAGGTTGTATAAGGGCTGCAGGTAACAGTTATACAACAAAAGTGTAAGCCACTTCCTGCCGCTATAGAACATTTACGTCGGTGCAAGATTCAGTTTTTGTCAGCTATACAACTATTCTGTTACATGATTCTACTTTATTGCAACCAAACTATTTCTTATGTATTGTATAGGCGATAACTAACACATTACAGTCATTTTATTTACTCACATATCGGCCATTGTGAATTTCATACACAGGTATATAATAAACTTCTACACGGTGATATGGGGCTATTGAATTACTTGCGGAGCAAATTTTATTGTGATTATCGTGCAAAGTAGTTACGCAATTTGTACGGGCTTCGTATTTGATTCTTTTTTTTATACTCCAACTACCACGAAGGCCTAAGGCCTAAGCACCCATTGGGTACCGTGGGGCTATAGGGGGATACATGGGAAAAGGGGGGATGCCACACGGACTCTGGCGAGGAAACACGTGTGCATGCAACATGCACACATTCTGGCTCCGCCTACGAGAACCGCCGGGTGGTACCTCCGCGTTCGACAGTCAGAGACCATCTACCACCTACGGACAATCACAACATCCATAGCCAAGAGAAAAATTTCTCCTGCGACGGGACTCGAACCCGCACAGCGCACGGCGACTGATCAGGAGACCGAAGAGTGAACTACTGCGGCCACCGCTGCTGCCTAAAACAAACACACAACATCCATGGCGAAGGCGAGATTCGAACTCGCGGCCCGGCCGGCCGGCTGATCAGTAGCACGACACTCTGACCCACGCGGCCAACCGAGGTTCCATGATTCTATTTTAATAATGATCAAAAGTGTGTTTAGATTTT